GAAGACAACATAGCAGATGTTCAGGACAGCTTGGAATACCTCGGGCTCCCACAGCCAAATGGAACCCACAATGAGGCTGCAGTGAAGTCAGCGGCATCAACAATAAACTGCATTTATCAAAAAAAAAGAATGCAAGAGGTCAGAGTGTCCAACAAGGTCAAATTAGGGGAGCATTGCACAATCACAGTTTGCAAAACTAATGATATTAACATACAGTAGCTACAGGGACTGGGGACATATCCACAGGCTAGTTCTTAGATCAAAGCCATACATATGGATAACCACAACATTGTTAAAAATAGACTTGGATACCCTAGGCCACTGTAAACCTTAGGACAGTCTGACAGGCTGGGGGTTGAGAGGGAAAAAAGCTCAGCCCTCAGCTCCCTCTTTCTCAATTCTACTAAATGTTAAAGAGGACCATAACCATTGTGAGGAGCGGAGTCATCTCAAACCTGAAGGAGCCCACAGTGTGCACCTATGATGGTGGTGACCAAAACACAGGCAGGATGGATGAGAATGTGTTTAATTATACCCATTTTACTCCTTTTCCAAAATACCCACACATGACACTATGACAGATGCCCCCACCTGTGTATCACAAGACAAGACATGAAGATCCTTTATTAGACCCACAATGGCGATGTTTGCTGTGTTACAGAAGCAAGGGGGTTAGTGAAAATAAGAAGCTTCAGGAAAGTAAAAAATAAGTAAGTATAAGGAAATATGAAAATGGCAATCATATATACAGTGTTAATAGGATTGCACATTAAAAGGTATCGAAAATTGCTCAGACAGTAGCCTGCAAACAAGTGATTTGGTAATGCAGTTGCTTGTCAGAACTCTGGTGCTTGAACTGTAAGAGTAAATTGTTGGTCAACTTTCCAGTTAATTCTTCAGTTGCACTCGAGGATGAACTGATTAGACTTTGATGGTCTACACTTAAGGTCACTGGGATCGTCATGTTTTGCCTGATGGAAATGTTTTCAAATATGGTGCAAAGTTCCATTTGGACTCAAAGTTAACAGATTATTTTGGATGGTCAATGGTCCTTGCAAAACCTGTTTTTCCTTGTGAATATTTTATCTTAACTACACCTTGAGATAATCCTTAAATATATAAAATTTGGCACAAAAATTTACTTACACTTGTACCTTTGCAGTTAAGATGGAGGGACAAAGGTCAGGGTGACCTCACAGTGCATGTTTTTGGCCACTTGATATCTCTGATGTCTTCCTTGAGGGAATTTTCATCAGTTGTCATTTGGACTCCAAGAGGAACTGATTAGATTTCAAAGGTCAAAGGTCACAGTGACCTCATATGAGTCTGGAGAAATGTGTGTAAAGTGAAACTACACTGTTTGGTAAAGGCATACAACTGCATGGTGGTAATTCTAGTTATTATATTATAATTTTATTTTGAATGTTTGACTTCTGTTTCCACATCAAAATCATAGTTTTGGTAAGTGTATGGAACTGTTTTTCTGTGAGTGGGCACACATTCATCCATGATGCACCACACAGTCCAACAGGTGGTGGTAATACACTAAGGTATAGGGCAGGGCTCTTTAATTACAAAATCAGATGGGCCAGATTTTCAAACCAAGAAATTTGGGAGCCGGACATTTCCAGCAGCCAGTAAGCAGCAGGTACTGACAAATTTTAAACCAACATTACTGACTGTATTGGAAAACAAGTTATGTGTATCCAGTTTCCTTTTAAAATTTGGTCACATCTGACACAGGCACATCAAAAAGTGCCATTAAAAAATGCTATAACTGAACAGAATCTGAGGTGGTATCAATACCTCATTCCACATTTGAAATAAAAAAAATATCATTTTGATCATATCTGACCTAGGCACAAGTGATAAAAAACAAAACCATGCTCAGTATAAGCAACAACTTGTTTCCCTTTTAAAATTCAAATAAATATTGTGGTCACATACCCAGGCACATCACAAATTGCATTTAATAGAATAAATAAGAACTTTCAATGTTATATCAGTGCACAAACCCATAACAGGCGATAACAGTAAGTAACACACATGAATACAGTTCTACTACTGATCAGGCATGGCTTTGTAACACATCCCACATTATGTTGATATGTAGGCTGCAGTTACTCTGCCGAGAGGTGGAATGTTTAGTTCTGAACAGGAGCAGTGACTTTTGATTTGTATGTCTCTGCAACCAGAAGACATCGGTGAAGAGTGCTGTCAGTCAGGGAGCAACGACAGCTGCTTTTTATCGACCTCATGTGTAAAAGGCTTGATTCTCATGTTGATCCAAACACACTGCTGTAGGTTGACATCAGTCCAAAAGCAAAGCTCCGGTGCCATGGTAACGGATGACTGCATGTCAACAGGTTGGAGTATGAGTTCTCCTTGTCGATGGAAGGGAGCGCTTCCTCTGCTCTGGCGCATTGGTCTCCTTCTGTTGCATCAGTGAACAGGTCTCCAGCAAGGCCCCATCCCCTCCGAGTGCAGAGCGAGTCCATCCGCCGTGCAGCGGAGTCCTCTCTCCACCTCGCAGTGTGTCTGTCATCACATCCGGGATTTGTGCCGGGGATACGATGCGTTTATGGAGCGTCGGGAAAATGCAATGCAGGCTTACGCGGAGTGTTGCATTCAAGGTCTGTACTATTGCATGAATTTCGGCTCTCTGTTTTTCTCCAAGTTTCTTGCGGGACCACGGGCTGGGGTTGGTTCTGGACCGCCAATTGAATAGGCCTGGTATAAGGCAATGTGCCAGCAAAGACATGGATGGAGACAGCAAGTAAGAGAACATGGATAAAGAAAGAGTTCAGAATTTAGAAATCAATTTGGATTTGGAAATGTTGATTAGTTAGGAAATGCTGTGTTAAAACACTAATCCCGAGCATTTCGTTGCCTTTGTGCACATCCTGCAGAGAGGTGTTCCAGCATTCTGCAATGAAGATGGTGGATGAAGTGCTATAAAGAAATACTCCGGTTGTAAAAAGGATGAGGGGAGTTTTCCTTCAAGGTAACGTTACACTTCGTGTATCATATTCCATCATGTCTATGAGCCTTTCTCTGTAAGATGCTCTGGTATGTGGGGCCTAAATTCTTTGGCCCTGACAATTTGCAGCAGTCATGCAGCACTGTGAAGAAGATTCCTTCAGACGAGTCAGAGCAAGGGCAAGGGTACTGTACCGTAAACACACAAATGTTCTGGAACTATCCAAAATATCACAGGAAACAGGGCAATTATCCAGCCCAAGAGATTTAGAGAGAGAAAAAATGAGACAAGAGCAAAACCCATGTGACTGAATTCTCAATGCCACCATAGCAACACAGACATACACACGCACACACAGTCCAGTAGACAAAGCAGTTTTCAGAAATGACCTCCGGAGGATGTCCGTAAAATGGGAGATTGCCTTTTCACACCTCCAAAAATCAGTGAGAGATTCTCTGCTCAGACATGTTGATAACAGCACAGAAATCTTTGGAGAGTTAAGGTGAGGGATGGCGCAGTAGGCAGAGGCAGGATGTAATGTATTGATTCCCCTGCAGAGATTACGTATATCACCCTCGTGGCATCTTAGTTGATGTCTTCTAACAAGTGCGTTTTCATTGTGATACTTCTCCTTAGAAATGTCATCAACACCTTCACTCGCTGGCAGTCAATCCTTTGGAGGATCTCACATCGTTTATACTTGGGGGCTGGCCAGAGAGAGCCCAGAGAAAGTGCTGAAAGTCTGGAGGCTCTCAGTCAGACATGTGTGTTCACACATACAGCCCCTCTGGAGAATGTTTGGAGGATCTCATGGAGTTCAGAAAGCAGCTAAACACACATATAGATACCAAGCAATGTTTTCCTGCACCCTGAAATACAGACATCAAGCTTGTTTCCCGAATTATGCCACCTCATAATTAACTTAAAAGTTCTTTCACTCCCTTAATCTCTCTCTCTCTCTCTCTCTCTCTCTCACACACACACACACACACACACACACACACACACACACTCCTATCAGGGCAGAGTGTGGGGGTAGGGTAGGTGATGGTGGGCTCTCATTAGCCCTCTGGCTGTGAACCAGGGAGGATTAACGTCACAGTGGCTTTTCATGGTCTGCACAGAGACGTGTGTGTGTGTATGTATGTGGGGGTGTCGCCTTCAGCTTGGGGTTTGGCTGGTTACCTGAAAGCAAGCACACTCTAGGCACTTTTACACAGCCTGTTCCAGGTGGGAATGTTGCACCTTTCTTCAACCTTGCGGGTCTGTAAAAGCTATAAACACAGGTTGCTGAGGTAATCACAGAGCCCTAGATCATCCACTGTTTAAAGGTAGAGCTGTCATTGCAGGTCACCAACACTGTTGTCTTGTACACACGTCAGGACATCTTGTCTTGTCTTATAAATGAGCTAATATCCTGTGATCTTTGTTTAAAAAGGAGCTTAAAAACCCACAAGTGCTTTTGGCATCTGGTTTGACAGTGTTCAGATACCTTGAATGAGGCTGAACTATAACAAGGCATCAATTATACAATAATCTATGAAAGCTTTGTTCGTTTGTAGTGCCAAGAGACAGGAGCGCATATGACAAGTAATAATTTTTTTAAATTACTTTCCGGTTCATCGTCTATATTATAGTCTTGTGCTTTCAAAATAGAAGGGTTGATCAATGTGCTGGGTAACTTTAATAAGAATCTGACTGGAAGCCAGACAGGAAACCTGTTGGACAGTTGTTACATTTCTTTTCTTTAGTTTGAAACGTTTAAACATTAGGATGACTGCGTGTTTTAAACCCTCCTAACCGTGTGACAGGATTAACAGGGTGCAGGTAAAGGGTCTATCTGAGACCTTTGGCCAGAGGAGAACCTGCCTGGGGGAGGGAGGAAAGCCAAGAGAAATTTGAATGAGGATATTTTCCAGGTGTTCCATGCTGCTCCACCCACCAGCCTTTGGCCTCCMCCCCCCCCCCCTGCCCTCCCCCCCCGGGTATGTGGGCAGCACATCCACTGCAGCGCCGCAGAGGACGCACACTGCACGGAGGAGACACACGGGACGCAGACCAGTCGGCTCCGTCCCTCTACATCAGTTCTTCAAACCCAGACAATCTCCGTTTTCGGCTGTTTGCTGTCGCCTCCCCTGATCCGCAGCCCGCTGCCCACAGACGCAATGTCGGAACTTTCAGTGAATGAACACCTCGAGGGGATTTTATCAGATTTTGAAGGTATGTGCTGTGATATTGAATTACTTTACTGCGGCGCGTAATCAAAGCAAACAGGGGGCTGCAGCTCCGGGCTCACGCACCTCTGTTCAGAGACACAACGCGGTCTGAATCTGGTTCATAACACAGCCTAACACTTTCTGGTTAAGTTCTAAAATAAATATTTGTTGGCTGGCATGAGCGCAATAAACACCCGTTGTTCCATAACTGTTCGGGAGAAAACAACCACTTGCAATCCACATGTGATTTGATGTCTTTGATGTTGATCAACTAATCTGTGTTGTATGAAATCTTCTGTGACAGACTGGTTCAGGGCTGCGAATAAGTAAAAGCTAAGATGGAAAATGTGATGGAAACTTTGCAGACCAAACAACTGATTAATGGAGAAAACAACTGCAAGATTTGTAATTAGTAGAACTAACGGTGATGGTAAATCCTGGATAAAGATGTGACCGGTTAATGTGTAAAACCACTTCATCCACTGGGAGATTACATGTACAGCAATGTTTCTGTAAAGACAAACAAGGTAAGCAGTGCGTGACCAGATAAAGCCAAAAATAGACCTCTATCAGAGGTAGAACATCAGTGTTTCCTGAAGGAAAAGCTGTGTTTGCTGTTGCTGCTGCTGTCCTCTGGTGATTGACGTGCAAGCGAGGATGTTGTTGTTGTAAAAGCCACATTAACATTAACAAGACAGAAATATAGGTATTAAAACAATAGACAAATAAAACATCAATAACTGGCCACAGGGGGGTGCTTTTGCAACTACGTTTGACTATGTGAAGCATTTTATCAGTGAGCAGCTCTGTGCCAAGTTGTATTTCTATAGCATTTACAGTATTTTAGATATAAGAAGCTAACATGCTGTGTTCATGCTGGACACGTGTAAGGTAGAGACATGTTTTAGAACCATTATGTGGTCGTGGTAAATTTAGTTGTGAAGTGAATGTTCGATTATTCCTATAGTGCTCCCAGGTACATGCATGAAACTTGCGTGATCGATAGTGGCTTAAGGATAGAAACAACCATAAAGGTGGACTGCTAGCTTAGTGGCCAATTGTTGGTGCAATGTTTTGCACTGAATAATGTAATAAAAAACAAAACGAGCACTCATGCTGTTGCATCAATTCTACAGGTTTGCTGTTTCTACTTTCCACCTGACACCAGAGTATTATTTACACTGTAGGCATCCATGTTTCGTCTCTAAAAACAAGTATGCGATATCCTGTTGGTGACGCTTCAGGGCAGCTTGGTGTCATTGTCTATTGTAGGTTCCTGCTCACCTGCAAAATCACTGTTCCTTTCTTAATACATACTTTCAAACTATTAATCACAAATATCGATGTTTGATATTTCTGAAAAAAAGGCGGAGATATTTATTCGAAGTCAAAAGGATTCAGATCCGCACACATTTCAGTGGCGATAATAACAAGGTGACATCGTTACCAGCCCCTATCACCACAAGCTGTCTCAACATCTTCGTCAGTGTCTTCTACGGCACCACTTTTTCATCCTGAGATTTTTATATAATATTTAATATTTTTATTTTTTCCATTATTGCGCCTGTCTAGATTAGGGCGAGTGCAGTTAGAGAAGCAAGGGATTCCACCTGTGTGAAGGTGTTTTACAGTAGTAGCCAGCTGTTGGAGATGGTCAAGAGCAGAAAAAGCTGTTTACAACATACTTCTACAAAAAAAAAACAATCAAAAGTTGGCAGAAAATAATATAATTACCCATACTCATCACATTTAAAGGAACAGTATGTAGAATTTTGTGATATCTATTGGTGAAGTTGCATGTTGCAGCTGAACACCCCTCACCTCACCCTCTCCTTCCAAACATGAAAAAGAACCTGTGGTAGCTTCAGTTGTCATAAAAACTCAAAAGGTGTTTAGTTTGTTCAGTCTGGATTAATGTAAAAAACATGGTGGCCTCCATAGAGAGGGTCCCCTCGATGTAAATATAAAGTATTTAAATATAAAGGACCTTTTCTGAGGTAAAGAAAACTACAATTCATACAATTTAGATGAAATGAACTAGTGAAAACATCATGAGGATTATTCTACATTAAATTTCTGCCAATAGATCCCTTTCACCTAAATCTTACACACTGGACCTTTAAAACAACATATAGCATATTAAAAAACAAAACAAAAAAGCAACACTATTATCAATGCAAAGACCAAAGAATGTGTGTATGTGATGTGGACAGGTGTGCAGATGCATTCAAATGATTTTAGGCACATGTATTGACTCCTGAACAATAGTTGAAACAAATTACATCTTCAAAGACCAAACATAAAGAAGAACAGCTATAGAGCAGCAGTTAAATGGTCTTTTAAGCAAAATGAAATTGAAAATTGACCTCTGCTAGTGAGGAATCCAGGAGGACGAAGCTCTGGGGATTGAATAGTTAAATAAGTGGATCTGTGAATTTGTTCTGAAGCAAAGCTCAGGAAGATTACCATCAGTTTAGTGCATCTCAAAAATAAAAACACACATTTGAAAAATATTAATATCATAAATAGTAAGAATCAGAAAATATTCAAATAGGAGGACCGGCATTTTGATAAGGGAAGTAGAAAAAGGACTAGCCCAGACTTAATTACAATATGATACATAGGGATAACAACGGTGTCATGTGACAAGATGACTAACCATCCTTATTACACCAATAGATGTATTTATTTTTCTGTTCACCCCGTCAATAAGTTATCTCCAACCTTCAAGTTTCATCAACAATATTCCCAGAAATCTTGCAAGAAATTTTGCATCGTGTTAGTTCATGCAGGACACAGAGTCATGTGCTCAGCCATCATAAGCTGTCAGCTACTAATAGGTTTATGGGTGCTCGTCAGTCACCCACCAATCACAGCCCATTCTCTCACCGAAGCGGTCCCTTTAAATACGACCCCCCCCCTCACTGATCCCTGCTCAGCTACACTGCCACTCACGCCCTGCTGCCGGCAACTTGCCTCCACCACCCCAGCCTCCACCTTTTAGCACCGAGTCCAAACATGGTGGTGGTAAATGGTATTCATCTTGATCAAAACGCGCACTGTTTTTTTTTTTGGCATGTATTCCTTGTTTTACCTGCTGCATGCTGCGCGGCTAATCCAGGGAACATCCAAAGGCCAATCCCATTTCACCCCTTGGCCCAACCCCTTCCCCTTGTTTTTGAGGGTTAACTCACCCCTTGAAACGGAGTCACAAGGGGTAGCGGTTGAAATCTTCCCCTACGAATTGGGACAGCTCTTCAAGAAGCCTACATTACTCACACATTGCGATAGTGGTTTGGGGTGAAGGTGTAGTTGGTCATTCTGTTTGGCTTGTGAATCTGTAAAAGTCACGGCACACCACTAACGTACAGCATTTGCATTGAAGCAGCACATCATCTAAAATGTGGAATTCTGAACATTGAGAAAATGGTTTGAGATACGTTGTCTTCACTATAGGTCGACTATCCCAGCATCCTCGTATAAGAAAGCGTTTGCATCACCCTAGAATGTTTGGTGTTTATATTTGAGTGAGACTTACATTATAATCACTGGAGTCGGATGTTAAACAGCCTAGACAGAAAGAAGAACTAATAACACAGTGTACGCAAAGCCTTGAAAAGATTTCCGTGAATACTGACTGGGATGTGGGTGTGGGTGTGTGTGTGTGTGTGTGTGTGTGTGTGTGTGTGTGTGTGTGTGGTCCAGGTATTACTAATGTTGTGGGGGCCTAAATCTGTTTACACAGTCACAGGATAGGGACTTTTTTCAAGTCCACAAGTCATTGCAGTTTAAGGTGAAGACATTCCCAAAGGTGAGGGCAAGGTTAGAGTTAGGCAAATAGTATACTTAAAGTTAATGTTAGAGTAAATCTCCAGGAAGTGAGTGTTAGTCAATGTTGTGTGTGAGTGTGTGTTAAGAAGCAGTTCATTCTGTCAAACTGAGACGCTACTTGTGTTGACTTGATTAAAGATTATCCAAGTACATCGAATCAAATCAAAATACAGTGAGGACCAAAATTCTCAGACCATTGGAACCAACTGTATTTACAATTATTATAACTGTACTTGTTTAAATCATTTCAGTTCACTTAAGTATATATTCTATTCAACAATCTAATAATTAAATAAACCATCAGAAAAATAAAAAAGCCAAAAATATAAAATGTGCAGTCAAGTCAGAGAAGTCACTTTAAGCAATGTTTAAGTTTGGGGGTGGGGGCCCTGCAGTATATTAGTCCCCGTTCAGACCTGGTATGAACATCGTTCTCAGAGATCTGATCACCCACATGTGGCCACATTCTGTCAGCTATGTGAACGCAAATGTGTCCTGTGCCACGCAAAAGAACCAAGCCCTGACCTACTACAGTTTCATAATGAACTGAAAGTACTTTTACACTTCTCCTATTTTCCCATATTTGCGGTCAACACCCAAGTATTAACTTAGAATGGCACTTTTATTTTCTAGCATTCTCAATTACATTTACATTTAGGGCGTTTAGCAGACGCTTTTGTCCAAAGCGACTTACAATAAGTACATTTGTCACAAGAGAGGAGCCACAACATATCACCGTCGATGGGGTAAAACGAAATATAGAAACAATTGCCAAGCCCTCCTCTGAGGATCGTAACTGCTATTTGTAAAAGATTCTTTAAGTGCATAAGTGCTATGATTGACGAGCTAATCAAACGAACATACAAGTGCATACTTTTTTGGGGGGGGGGGAGTCATGCTATGCAGGGTCGAGGTGAAGTCTGAACAATTAATAACATTTGCTTTCGTAGTAAAGATTGATTGGTTCAAAAATCAAGTTATGAGGCAAAGACACCCAATGAACACAAGAGTGATTAAAAGTCAAACCAGTTAAAGAGGGCTTAGTAGGGATAGACGTTCGGGTAGACAGATGTAAACAGATGCTGAGATTTGAGCTGTCCAGTAGAACCCAGCTGGCGGATGTGAGGTGGGAGAGAGTTCCAGGGTCATGGCGCAGAGCAGCTGAAGGCTCTG